GTAGGGTTTCCGTCATGAATGGGAGGAAGATATCCGGCCGAAGCTAGTCTGGAGTGAGGCGCGATGTTGCCGCGGAGAGGGACAGAGGGAGTGGCCACGTGGTGTCACAGAAGGTAATGACCTTTTGTGCTGTGAGCTTTGAGATTAACAGTTTGTTTTGGCAGTGGATTTGAAGACGTTTGACAATTCCAGCGGACTGTACCACGCATCGCCGTGGCTCGGGTGTTTTTGGGCTAAGACACGAGAATATTTACAGAACTACCTATGTTAAGTGGGCAGAACGTTCCTATTCCCGTCTCCTGTTTAGGTGGCCGTAAAAGCCTTTCTCACCTGGCCATTTTCACGGCATTCATCGATCGCGAAAATGACTCCAGCATCTTCTCAACAGGATTGTTGACGTCCACTCCAGAAGAAGGTATAGTCGGCAACCTTTTCGTTGACGTATTTCTGTTAAAAAAAATCCGGTCTTATTGACAACCACAATATCTGTTAGACGCGTTAGACATAATAGACTACGATGGAAATAAAGTTAAGTATATATACATTCTCGATAACAGTTATATATGCGTAATGACCTAGGAAAGAGGAATATGCAACGTTAGAACACGCGACAATGGAAAAAATCTGGCTACAGTAAATAAAACGGTACTGGTAAATGATGAATATCCAAAGGAATAAAAAGTGAATAGATGTTACGTTACAGGATAATCGGTAGGAAAGAGGCAAATTCGGTAACAAAATTTGACTATCAATAAAGATACAACGAACAGGTTATGGACGTCACTTACGGCAGAACACGGACACCGAGGCGTAAAACCGCGCACAAATTCTGAAAAGAGAAAGGGGAGGGAATGACCGTTAAAACAAACAGGAGGGAGACGGCTCGGGTTCGTCTATTACATTCCGGATTGTCAAAATCGATCGGACATTCCAGGCGGTCCGAGGGGGCAGTGTCTGCTTAGCAGCCTGGCTGTTGTTTAATATAATTTGTCGACCACATGTTTTTTGCCTACAGGTCACAGTCAGCCTGCAGACGAAGCGTTTCATGGAATGCTTCCTAGCCTACCC